GTTATTGAATATTTTAACTGAGTTCAGTATGTACCATAATGAAACACGTAGTCTGTGGATTCGAGTTTGATTGTTAATTTTTTGCAGTGTTTAGCTAGGGGTTTTGCTCATGCATCAGTTAGTTTAGGATTTGACAAGTAAGTTTTTGATGAAAGTTTAGGTTTTATTTTCAAATACAAAGCACGAACATATACTATTACGAACATATACTGTTACATTTACTATTATTTCCTTAGCTTATACTTCTTCATTGGTCTCGTTCATCTTCTACTTATTGCAGGTTAAAGTTAAAACAGAGAGAAGTAGTGAAGTTAAAGTGGATAATTGCTAAATATTCTTTCGCTGGTGACTATTACTACCATGGATTCACATGGACGAAAAATTATAATAGTTGATAATGGCACTGGGGTTATTTTTGTGTTTTTTAATTGATTTTCATTTTCAAACTTTAGAAGTAAAATTATATATATTTTTCTCAAATCATTATTTTCATCGAAGAGAGTACAAAGTCGATCATTGTTTCGATGTAACATGTAAAGTAAGTTATTATGTTGAATGTAGATTTAGTTTGTGAAGTGTGGTTATGCTGGGACAAACTTTCCTGCCCACATATTTCCTTCTGTGGTGGGACGTCCATTAGTGCGATCGACACAAAAAGTTGGCAACATTGAAGTTAAGGTTAATTTCATGATTTGTTTCATTTTTTTTATTTTGAAAACTCATTTTTATTCTTCAAGTTGTAGATGACATGTTTCAGGTATAATTAGAGTGGAAAGTTCATCTAATATTTGCATTATTAAAATTTTATCGTATTATGCATTATATCATGTTTCCACTCATTGCCGGTACTGTTATGGTAGTTAGATTGTTTGATGATGTCGGTTTGTCACTTTCAATGTTTTTATGATTGTAATATTAATATACTGTCATAAACTGTATGCATAGATGGCTACTAAATGTTTTTTCAGGATCTTATGGTCGGTGAAGAGTGTACTCAGTTGCGACAAATGTTAGATTGCAGTTATCCCATGGAGAATGGCATCGTCAAAAATTGGGATGATATGGGACATATATGGGATTACACTTTTGGTCCTGAGAAGCTTGATATTGACCCAAAGGCATGTTTTTTGCTTTAAATAATCATAAATTTATATAAGCATAAATGTTATACTAGCTTAGTATCGGTACGTACACCTTCATACTCGTTTTAAGGATTGCAAATTATTGCTGACGGAGCCTCCTTTGAATCCTAACAGTAATCGTGAGAGATTATTCCAAGTCATGTTTGAACAGTATGGTTTCAGTTTTCTCTATGTTGCTGTGCAAGTACGTATACTTTAATGTATTGAATAGAAATTAATTTACTGACTGAAATCATATATTTGATAAATGTCAATACTGTAAATACTTTATCACTTCTCAAGGGATGGGTTTTCATGCATTCTCGTTTTTTTTTTACTGTTAAGCTTAATACTCAAAAGTTCGCCTATTGAAGGTTTCTTGTTATTCTTTTTTTGCTTAGTTAGATCAGTTTAATCATCTTAGAGCATTAAACACTATCATTTAGTAGAGCTCATAGGTTTTTATAAGACATGAACTGAAAATTTTTAGGCAGTATTAACATTGCATCATCAAGGGTTACTCACAGGTGTTGTGATTGATAGCGGTGAAGGCGTGACTCATATTTGTCCTGTATATGAAGGCTATGCTTTGAATCATTTGACGCGTCGTTTAGATATAGCAGGACGTGATATAACTCGTTATTTAATTAAGGTTTTATTTTTCATGTGTAAGAAAGACAGCTTAAATTATATTCATTCGCATCAGTTTCTTATTTTTGCAGAAATTTACTCACATTGGAAAATCACTACAAGTGTATTTCTGGAAATAAGTTTCTATCGTGAATGCCTACTATGTACTCACTAAATTTCAGCTTTTGTTATTACGAGGTTATGCGTTTAATCACACTGCGGATTTTGAAACTGTCAGATTGCTAAAAGAAAAGCTGTGTTACGTTGCTTATGATATTGAAAGAGAACAGCGCTTGGCTCTTGAGACTACAGTTCTTACAGAATCATATACCGTAGGTTACTGGACTATTGCGGATTAATAGCATACTACTTATCCTAACTCCAACTTTTCTCAGAGTTGTTTTCAACTTTTTGTTAACTTAACTTCAGACCTCAGTAACTTCTTTCATTTGCTATCGATGAGTACTATCACTAAGAGTTTCTTGGTTAATCTTAACTGTTGATGAAGTTCTTAACACTTTAGTTACCAGACGGTCGAGTTATTCGGGTCGGTGGTGAACGGTTTGAAGCACCTGAAGTATTGTTTCAACCTCATTTAATCAATGTGGAAAGATCGGGTCTTAGTGAATTACTTTTTGGAGTTATACAATCTGCTGATATTGGTCAGTCTTTTTTGTCTTCTATGCATACATTTTAATGATTGCGTCATATCTCTATTCATTTATGAGTTCACTTGATAGGACGAATTTTCAATTATTAAAGCATTATTGTCCACAGCGTGGGAGTTGCAATATATAAAGGTTAGAATATAAGTTGTATTACTTGTTATTTTGTTGCTGATATTGTAGTACTGGGATTTTCTATAAATATGCGGTTCTTATCGTGTTAAATATTTTTCCATATTCACTGTAATGCAACTCCCAATGCTCATCTATTTTTTTTTTTGCAAAAGCTTGCTCAAAAATTATTAAATTGACGCTAGAAATTATTGATCTTGAAAAATTATCTTGCATCTATCTTCATTTATTATTAGATACTCGACTTGAATTTTACAAACATATTGTGCTGTCGGGCGGTACGACAATGTATCCTGGTCTTCAAAGTCGTTTAGAACGTGAATTAAAACAGCTTTATCTTGATCGAGTTTTGAAAGGAAACACTGAAGCATTTAAGGTTATTTTAATGTAAATTTGTTTGTTTATAGTACAAATGTATTGAGGAGTCATACTTTGTTTATTAAAGAAAGTATATTGTGCTTATGTCTGGATCACATTTCGAAACATTTTTATTTTTCAGAAATTTAAAATTCGAATTGAAGCTCCTCCGAGAAGGCAACATATGGTGTTTCTTGGTGGTGCTGTGCTGGGAAATATCATGAGGGATCGTGATACTGTATGGACATTTTTATTCCAATTTTTCTTAAATTTTGCTTGTGAATATATATATAAAAGCATAGTTTTTTCGTGGTAGTATGTGCTTTGTTTATATAGATGGCTAGAAATGCGCGAAAGTAATTTAAAAATTTTGTTTGTAACTTAAGATTGGTCTCTATCACTTGTGAAAAATTGTTGTAGCATATCCTATCATAAGTTTTTTTTTCAGGATTTTTGGATTTCCAAAAAGGAATATGAAGAAGGAGGTATTGAACGATGTTTGAAAAAACTAGGCACCAGGTAATCCAGTGATGTTTCATGGGATTACATGTTAATTATTTGCTGGTCAAGTTGTACTGTACATCATTTCAGATAACAAGCATCAAGCTGAATTGAAAATAATCGTTGTAATGCTGTCATCGATAAAGTGTTTATTATCAATGCGCCAATTTAGAACTTTATTGTCTATCAAATTTGTATCCCTGCATTTATGCCATGAGGTATATTATTAAGTTGTGTTATTTCACTGTTAAATTTTTTTGGTAGCAACTTGGGTATATCGGCAGTTTATTGGTATTAGTTAATAACATGTCTTTGACTTTACAATTTTGCTACTCGTTCAAAACCTTTTTTTTTAAATGCATTACTGAAAACAAACATATCTGCTTTAATGTTTGATTTTGATTGCACATGACTTTCGAAATTCAAAGTCAACGGTTGCCTTAGACATCGATCTTCCAATATTTATTTACTTTGTTTATTGTTTAGCTATAATTTTCGTTCATATTTCTTTCATATTGTTTGTGGTAGATCAAAAAAGTCACTTCTCTGAGTTGTTAACAAGGGAAATTACTAGTTTAAGCTTGGGAATTTTTGAAATTACTAGTTTCATTTTCAAGCAGTAATCTGATAGTATGCATGTTAAAATTTGAGATTGATCTATGCAATAACTACCTATTCTGTTTTGAAAATAGTGCTTGTCTTTTGCATTCCTCTTTGTGCTGGTTGTGTGCTATTTTAATTTGTTTATTTTTATTAATTATCTTTGATAAGTTGTTAAATCCTTGCATCTGTGAGAGAAATCGACGCAATTTTATGAGATAAAATTATAGAAGTGCTTATGAAAATTGTAATCCGACGTAATTTTTCGTTTGTATGAACTTCTTTAAAAAATGAAGTGATGACAACGTTTGTGCCAGTTTGTGGAACTATTTTCGTGAAAAGGCTGCTTGGAAAAATGAATGATTGAGGAAGTGCATTTATGTTACTATTTTTGTATTTGACGGTGTATTTGAATTGGGCATAGAGAACAGAGGAAATGGGTAAAGAGTTGTAGAAAGTAATAAAACTGGTTTATTTGCATCTGTAGGATTCAATGGTTGTAGCAGATATTCGGAGGTTGACCGGGTTAATTTGAGGCAATTTTTAATCTGAAACAATTGAAGTCAAGCGCATAAAATAGTTTGTTTTTGAAGGGTGAGCGAATGCTGCTATCAGCATTATAGTCAATAACAGTATTAATTGAGATAGGATATCAGATTAATTAGAGAGATTTATGATAGAAAAATTCTGGATGAAGTTTCGAGTTTTCGTTTTCAGAAGTTTCATTTCTGGAAACGAGTCAGTTAGTTCAATTAGGTCACTCTGAAAAATTTGGTTACCGAAGTTTCTCTAGTTAAATTGATATCTTTACTTTCCCAGACAATCCTTGATTTGTTCAAGCAGTGTGGTTCCACATTTTATTCAAGATTTTCAACAATAGAAGTCCTCTTTAGAGATTGCTCAGCAAAGCTAAGAAGAATTGATTTGACAAGTTCTCGACCAGTGCGATTGTAGTCGTGGAAAATAGTGATTCCACGTTTTGAATGAACGGCATTTACCGGTTTTTGTTACCAAGTACACCAGTACGTTTCTGGTCAACGTCTGGACGATCGTCTACGTCATTTGGTGTTCCAACTACTATATTGTCGTCGTCACGGTGTTTAAAATATGCATTTGCTAGGCTTCTGTTTTTAATAAAAATCATTTTTCAGTGTTAAAAATATTTTAATGGATTTATGCATAATCACTTTACTAGGCTAGGATGTTGAATTTCATGAATAAAGTGATTTTTGTATACACAAAATCTAGATTAAATTCAAGATAAACTTCAGCATTAGATTAAAATTCTTGTTTGCGTCTTTATGCAATTTTTATCTGCATAAAAATCTAGTGAATTTCATAATTCGATTGCATTAAAGTTATTTTCAAGATCAGAGGATTTAGATGTTCTGCTTAGTTTTTACTGCCTATTCAGATAGATATTTTCTAGCAACAAAAACTGAGCAGAAGTTTTGTTGGTGGAAATATTCATTGCATTAGTTAGTTTCTAGTAAAACCCAACAATTTTAAGTCGGATAAATCATGACGTAAAGTTGGATTAGTAAAGACTGCTTACTTTAAGTTGTTATACCTTTTGTTCTATAATATTCTGCAGTCTTAATGCTGCAGTAAATGGTTTAGTTCTTTCGTTATATTTTCAATTTATGATTGTAGGGTTTTGGTTATTGCTAATCAATTTTCTTCTTCGATGTCCTCTCCGAGAACTACGTCAACTGATGTAATTACGAAGCGATTTGATAATATAATCAAGTCACAAGAGGACAAAAGAGAGGTTTGTAATTCCTTTGACTTTTTTCAGTTCGCATATTCAAAAATTCGAATAACTTTGTTGGTGGCAAGTACTGTAAGTTATTAATATTCCCAAAGAACTGTAATAAACTTGTTGAAACAATTAATAAGTTTAGACTTAAATTTAAGTATCGAGGACTGGAGCTAAAAAATGGTCTACGATTTCTGCTCATTTCCGATCCAAAGACAGACAAAAGTGCTGCATCATTGGATGTAAATGTTGGTGAGTGATTCCATTTTTGTGTGGTTTATGATAGGGATTGTTGTGACAATAGTATGATAGAATTACTGTGTTTTGAATAGAAATTGTCGTTTCAGACGGTATAGTATGTTTGCTGTGAAACTCTGTTTTAATAATACTTTAGTGCTTTTGTTATTATTTTTACAGTTTTTCATTTTCTAAAGTAGTATATATTTTTATATAAAATGCACTTTTATTGCAAGGAATACTGTGATATAGACGTTTTTACCCATTTCATATATTTTGTAGGGCATCTTATGGATCCTTGGAATTTGCCTGGTTTGGCACATTTTTGTGAACATATGCTGTTTTTGGGTACCGACAAATATCCATCTGAAAATGAATATAATAAATTTATATCATCGCATGGTGGTGTAACGAATGCTTATACAGCTGCTGATCATACAAATTACCATTTTGACATAGCTCCTGAACATCTAGACGTGCGTTTTTTTAGAAACCTCCTAGTTATATTCCCACTTTGTTATAAATTTCCATTTTGTAATAATTCGGAAAGCATATATATACGCACAAATGTTCGGTGTTTGTTAATTGCGTTGCAGAATTCAAATTTCTGCTGATTATATTGAGGGATTTAAATTTAAAAAAGTTTTTCCACTCATCACATTAAAGTATATTTTTTAAAATATGCTATTTTATCAGTAGAAAATATTACTGTAACTATCAAATGACTTGCCGAGCACAACAACATGTTTTTTAAACTATTACTTTTTGGTATCAGTGAGAACACTAAAATCACTGAAATTATCTAATGTGGAGTATAAACAACTTAGCTTTGATTTTTTCTTTGAACTTGAAAATCTTCAGGGTGCTTTAAATAGGTTTGTGCAATTTTTTCTGTGTCCACAATTCACAGAAAGTGCAACCGAACGTGAAGTGCAGGCAGTTGATTCTGAATTTTCAAACAGTCTCTTTAATGATCAGTGGAGAATTCTGCAAGTTGAACGGTATTTATGTTTGGCTAATGAGTGAATGAATGTTTTCAGTTCTTTTTTAAATCTTATTTATATCAAGTTCAAAAGCTTTATCGCCATAATAACTTAGAACCAATTGTAAGATTTCAGAGTGCATATTATTTTCAAAGTATTTGAATCAAAAAAATTCATTTAAATTGATTTTTAAGTCTATTCCATCTAGCTGCATTAAGGTCACTTTCAAAGCCTTCTCATGACTATGGCAAATTCGGCACAGGCAATCGTACAACACTTATGGTTGATGCATTGCAAAATGGGATTGAACCGCGCAAAGCATTGTTGGATTTTCATAAAACTTATTACTCATCTGATATGTAAGCTTTTTTACATATTATTTTAAAATTGTAATTGTTTGGTTTCATAAAATTTTTTTTCTATCATAATAATTTATGCATTGAGTTCATGTTAGATATAAAATATATCTCATGGAAAATCCTATGATATTTTAAAAAGATGTTTAAAAAAATTTTCTTGCTAAGTGCAACAAATTATATATTATTTTCGCTTTAGCTACCTCATTAAATTCGAAATTTTTTATAAAACATTTCTTTCATTGTTATACAAATGTTTTGACATAGGAATGAGGTAAATGTTATGTATTATTGTTATAATTTGTTATTTTCAAGACGCATATTTTTTAGAATGACGTGTTCTATTTTGGGAAAGGAATCTCTGGATCAGCTAGAAAAAATAGTGACGTCACTAAGTTTTGGAAGCATAGAAAAGAAAAATGTGGCCAGAAAAATATGGAATGAAGGACCTTATGGTGAAGAACAGTTGGGAGTCAAAGTTGAAGTAAATAGGTTTTAATTTTTAGTGTGGAGATTAAGACCTTTTATTGCTGCTAAATAACTTCAATTTTTTCGTGTATATACTACATTTTCCTTATCTCATGAAAGTCATTTTATTTACAATTTATATTTTATTTAGTTTTTACATTAAATTCTTTTCAATACTTTCAAATATGTTTTACTGGCACTTTTTTCAGATAATACCTGTGAAAGATCTCAGATATTTAACTTTAACATTTCCAATTCGTGATTACAGAGATGATTATAGATGTTGGCCTGCCCATTATGTTTGTAAGTTTCATTTGTTTCACACAAATAATTTCTATCATAATTTGAGTTGTATTTTTAAATTGTAAATTTCAAATATAATATGCATAATGGTAATATTTGGAAATTTTTAGTGTTTTTAAGGAACATACTCGAAAAACATGTATCTATGTAGCTTAACAAAGATTTTATGAATTTGTTTTCTAGCTCATCTTATTGGTCACGAAGGTCCAGGATCTTTATTATCTGAATTAAAAAAGCGCGGATGGGTTAATTCTTTGTCTGCTGGTGATCGTTTGTTAGCTAGGGGTTTTGGTATTTTCACAATATCAGTGGATTTAAGTGAAGGTCTACTTTTTACCAGTGAATTTACTACCGTTGTTTGAATTATCTTGAAGTATTTAGGTCTACACAAATAATTTTTATCATTATTTGAGTTGTATTTTTAAATTGTGAATTTATGCCAGATATTTATGTACCATAATCATACATGCATTAAATGTGTTTCAGAAGGTTTATTGCACGCTGACGATATTGTTGAACTGGTGTTCAGTGAAATAGGTTTAATAAAGCAAGCAGGACCGTTGAAATGGATTTTTGATGAACTGAAGCAGTTGCAAGAGATCAAATTCCGTTTTAAAGTAAGTTTAGTTCACTTTCAGTTTTCGCTCCATAGTTTCAAACTTCAATATTCTAAGCATTTGCCACATATTTTTGACATATTTGTAATTAAAAGTCATCAATTTAGGACAAAGAAAATCCACTGAATTATGTAACGAACTTGTCCTCAGAGTTACAGCGAATACCTTTCGAAGACATAATTTGTTCAGATTACAAAATGGATTTATATAAGCCAAGTATCTTTTCTTCTGTATTGAAACTATTCATTTATGAGTTTTGCTCCTATATTGTGTTGATCCATTAGTTTTGGATTAAATGTGAACTTAAGATCTGATACAAGAGCTGATTGAATATTTGGAGCCAAAAAATATGTTTTTTACGATAATTTCTCAACAGTTTGCTGGCAAAGAAGGTAACGTGAAAGAAAAGTGGTATGGAACCGAATATAATACTGAAAAAATCCAAAAAGTTAGTTGTAAATTTTTTATATACAATAAAACTTTGAAGCAAAAATAAAATTCATGAGTATTTATAATATTGTCGAGAACGATTAAGAACATTGTTGGTTTGATTAATCGGTGCTTTTCGTTAGTCAGACGAAATTTACTTTAGGTAAATATGGAAAAATTTTGCGATGCACTCGTTCATGTACCTGATTTCTTTAGTTTGCCGGCTAAAAATGAGTATATTGCGACTAAATTTGATTTGAAGTCTCGAGAGAAAACCAGGTTAGGAATTAAAGTATTTCTATTAGCAGGAATGTAATTTTTTGCTCTGCTGTTTCTAAAATGTGCTTTTCTTAAGACCAACTGCATCTTTCATTTATTTTATTTTTTGATCTTTCCTTTCTTAATGTTTTAGTTTTATCTCAGAAAACTGAAAACTTGATGAGAAAATAATAGTAACTTCTATTTATTAGTGTCTTTGCCGTTGAAATAAATTTTTTCAATTCATTTCAGAGAGGAACCTTATTTGATTATAAATAATGATTGGTGTCGATTGTGGTTCAAGCAGGACTGTGAATTTAAACTGCCGAAACTCAGTACTAGAATATCTTTGAAATCACCAATGATGCAGTCAAATCCGTTGAATGCTTACTTATCTACCATGTTAATCATTTGTTTACAGGTATTTCCGGTTTTATCTTGTTGATATATTGATTGAAAAGAAAACATTTCATCGAATAATGAAAGTGTAATAGAGTTTGCTTAATAATTTTTGAGTCAAAGCAGACCAGAAAAGTTCCGAATGTTTGCTGCCATAAATAATGTAAGCTTAAAAAGTATTTAATAAATGGAAGTGGTTTTTGTATTAAATTTTTTAGTTTTCGAGATCGCTGACTTTGATGTTGGATCCTGAAATAGAAATTTTTGCATTATTTTCTAGGATGCCATCGCTGAAGAAACATATAACGCATATCTTGCTGGTTTAAAATCATCATTTGATCTGAAAATGAATGGTATTACATTGCGAGTGTCAGGTTATGATGAGAAACATCGGAAATATGTTAACGATTTGATACAGCGGCTCATTACTTTTATACCTGGTAATCACAGAAAGTTTGCCTAGGATACGCTAAATTTTTCTCTTCATTATTTTTCACTGACAGATTTTTATATGCATTTTGTAGTTTGCATCTCTACATATTGTTATGGGTTAAAACGATCATACTGATGGAAGAGACTAAATGACTTGTTTCGCAGTTCTTGATCGAAACTATTTTTGGTTTCTTTTTTAATGAATGGGATGTTAGAGGGAAAAAAATTGTTCAAATTATATAACTTATAACAATAAAAGACGATTTTTGATATTTTATTTCTATTAAAACTAGATGAGAATCGATATGAGGTATTGAAAGAAACACTTTGTCGAAATTTACGGAATTTTCGACAGAGCCAGCCATATATGCAATCACATTATTATACTACCCTGCTGCTTGGCAGCCGGCAGTGGAGTAAGGAAGAGATACTGTCTTGCGCTGAAAGTAAGTCTTTCAAATTTTTGTTTCGATTTCTTTGAGAAGGTTGTCGCCAGTTCCGAAAGTCAGTGACTGTTTTATTGTTGTGTTAAGATTATCTAAACATTAATTCCAGACTGTGGAGTGGGAAGGTTGCGAAAATATGCTCGTGAATGCCTTCAAGCGTTACACATTGAAGCTCTTGTTTATGGCAATAGTGATGAAAAAGTATTGTTATCATTTGATCCCTAATTTGAAATGGACTCTTACAATTTCCCATCGTCTAGAATCATTTGTTCTTCATTTTTTGTTGTCAATAATAAGTATTAATTCAGGAATCAATGGAAATTCTCAATGATGTTGTTTCACGATTTAAAGAACTTCCGGATACTCGACCTTTGTTTGATAGCGAGTTGGATGACTGCAGAGAACATGAAATTCCCAAAGGTTCGTTAACATTTCTGAGTGATTTGAACTATATGACTTTATGAATTTATTTTGAGGCAAAGAGTGTTTCCACGTTAACATCTTTTTGATCAAATCAATAAAACACACGCATGATTTACTCAAAATGTATCTAATTCAATATTTCATTTGCAATCAGTTCAGAAATTAGAAAAGAATTTTTAACTGTTTTTGCAGTCGTTCTGCATTTCAGGATCTCACTATGTATACAAAGCATTTCAACCAACTCATCCAAATGCTTCCATTAATTATTTCATGCAAACGGGCCAGCAGAGCACTCGCGAAAATGTTTTGTTGGAATTAATTGTGCAGTTGGCTGCTGAACCTGCTTTCAATCAGTTGAGGACTGCAGAACAGCTAGGTAATCAGAATTGAAATGACTGTATCATTAGACTGAGCGTTTTTTCATTGTTCATATATTAAGAAGTTGTTAAAAAATTGCAAAATCTAGAATGCCAAAAAAGCAGGTTTTTCGAACTGATCAATTCAATGTATAATCTTTTTAAAGTCTTAGGCTACATCGTTCACACTGGAGCTCGTCGAAGTAATGGCGTTCAAGGGATAGAATTGCTGATTCAAGGACAGCATGACCCAGAATTTATGGAAGAGAGAATAGAAGCATTTCTTTTGAAATTCAGGGTATTTAATTTATGTTATCATTTAATATGTGACATCATTCTAAAATTTTTCTTTCGTTCCATAATTTGTTTTTTAGTCTGATCTCGAAGCTATGTCGGACAATGAGTTTCAAGATAATGTGGAAGCTTTGGCTACTAAACGCCTCGAAAAACCAAAAACATTGAAAGCTCAAGCTGATCGCTACTGGACTGAAGTGGATAATGGGTTTTATTTATTTCAAAGAGGTAACTCTTTTTTTTGAAGATTGGAAAAGGTATTGCTCTTGTAATTTATTTAATTAAACTGAAAACGAAACTTTATAAAAGTTGAATGAATTACGAAATACCAATTCCCAAGTGTTTTTTCAGTCCATGAGTTATATGTAATTATTTTTTATGTTAGATATATAAAATCACATAAGAATATAATTTTGATGTTACTTTTGTTTACAGATGGCATTGAGATACCTATACTGCGAAAGTTAACTAAAGCAGATGTGATTAAATATTTCGATCAACATTTCGCGGTCGGTTCATCAGAGAAACGCAAACTCTCTGCTATGGTTTATGCTAATCACGAAAATGAGGAAACAGTTAATAAAAAGGAGCAAATAAAATCTGGTGCTTCTGGAGATGCAAAACAAGTATGTGCTCTCTTGATTTTGAAAGTTTTGCATCAAAATTCAGATAAGAAAATGTATCACAGTTGATTGTATAAAGTCATTGTTTATTAGATTAGTTGCTAGTGATCTTTTTGAACACATTTTTTGATTAAAAATTGCTGCGTTAAAACAAACAATTTTCTTGCAGACAGTCGAACGAATTAATGATGTAAAAGCATTTAAATCTCGATTGTCACTTTATCCATTACCGCAGCCTGCAGTCGATATCAGTGGACATGTTCCAAAAGTGAAAGATCAAAACGAATGACAGAAAAGCAGTAAATTTCTAAACACTGCGAGACATTTTAAAAACTTATTGTTCTTATGATTTCTGCACTTTTTTATTCTGTTTCAAGAACGTTAGCTAGCATTGAGAAATTCGTTTCATATTCTGAAGTTTTTATGCTACATTAGCTTGCTACATTTTTGTACTTTATGTTTTGAAAAATTCATTTTTTTTATTTTTCGTTCAGTTTCTACTTTTTATGGTTTAGTATTCTAATTGTAACAGTTGTTATTATGATGATTATATTTACGGTATTATTATTACTATAATTATAACACCAAATATTATGGATTGTTGCGTACGTAAGATCTCTCATATGCATACTGAATTTTAGTTTTCGGTCCACAAACGTTAAAAATTCAAATGTAGGTTATAAACTAGGATTTCCCGTAGTCTGTTAGAGATCCTACTGTTAATGTTAAAAGCACAACAGTTTTTCAAACAATCCTTTATTGCTTTAAGTAAAGAATTAAATTTTTCAACATTAGCAGTCAGTATACTTTTTTAATATCACAATAATGCACCTGAAGTTCACTCAATAATTAAATGAGACATTACAACAATTTACTGATACCTAGTAGTTGTACTTGTAGGTAGCATTAAGTTTATTGATGGAATATAAGATCATTTTAAAAAGTTTAACGCAATTAAGGCGAGTTTATATTTGTCATTTTAGGTTTTTTTGGTATAAAAACGTAAGCGAATGTCTTTAAACTTGATAGCCATTAGAAGAATTTTTGAGATATTATTGATTACTTTTTTAAAATTGGTAAGTGAAAGTTCAGAAAACATGGTAGTTGCAGTTTTTGTCATATAAAAAAAATAGATACTTATATAAATCGTAATGATGCAAATATTTTGACACTTTCTAAATGCATTAGAAGTATGATTGGACAAGGAATATATATTTTCTATACATGTTGAATGTGGTGTTTTTTTAGCAAAAATAATTTGCTCTTAATGAATAGATAATTTTGATAGAAAAGAAGAAATTGGCATATCACTTGGAAAAAGTAAAATCAGTTTACAAAAAAGCATGTAGCTCGCAGTTTTATCATTGAAGTCAATTGTAGATAAATCGAAGCTTGCAGATCAGTGGTGCCCAGAAAAAATAATGAGTAATGGGTCACTTCAAGTTTTTTGTTTGCTTGGAGCTATATTAAATACAAGTGGTGCAGTGTTTCAATTTCATACAATTTTCTAAAGTTGTATTTTATTACATTCCAGTTATGATTGATAAGATAAAATGATCGTAAAGATGTTATGTATTTGTATTAATTATATTGAGCAGTTATTATTTATTTATTTTTCGGAACAATTTTTAAATGATTTTTTTGTAATTGTAATTTATACATAGAATCAATCGAATCTTGTATTTTTAACATGATTTTGTTAGACTAAATAAAATTTATTTATTAAAGATGCATGAGGCTATTTGGTTCAATTTTCGTCGTTGATTCTTCTGAATTTGATGTTTCTTCTGATAAAATAGTATTGGTATCAGTTGCTGTTGAAACTGGTTGTAAAGTTATTACAGGTGCTAATTTACGTCGAAATGAACCGCGGATACGTGTTTTGCTACGTCGTAATGAACGTCGTGCATGTAATGCATTTCTCATAATAATTGGTCGATTTGCATCCATTTTTGCTTCCTCGGCACACTGTTCAAAAAATTCTAAATTTTACGCATTAATATTTACATCTACTAGACATTTACGCAATTTACATTAGTTGAAAATTTATTAGTTTGTTTTAATGGTTTGAATCTTTTTTTTATTAAATGGGATTTATTATTGTTATACTACTAATAATATTTTTTATTGTCATTATTAAGTATGATAAACTTTGTAATTGCTTGTTTCTATATTTTTGTTTTAATTATTCAGTCTAGCCAATTACTACGATTCAGTTCCACGTAATTCCATTCATCTATTTATGATCTAATTCAACATGGATCACTTTGTGACCTAACTTCATAGCTTAAACACGAATTTTCATAATAAATTTTCACTATAAGTAAACGTAATAACCTCGCAATTTATGTACATCTGGCATAATATGTTCTTGAAGTTCACTCATCTGTGCTCCTGTAAGTTTTAACGCAGTTTCTAAATGCTCCAAAGCTTTTTCTGCTGCTTGAAGTTGTTTTTCTGCCCCTATACGTGCTAACACTTCATCCTTCAATTCGGCTTCTGTCATATCTCGTTGCTCACTCACTTCCTGTATATAAATTGTAAAACTGTTGAGATATTTTAAGAACTGCTATATTTTTAATTGAAAATGTGATATATACAAAGCTACATTATAATAACTTAATTTGAAAAAACTGTACAAAATTCATTAATTGTGCAGTAATAATTAGTTCCATAAATCTTATCGTGTTATTGAATTCTTATTTAAGTATTTAAAAAATAATTTACTCTTAATGAATTTAATAATTCCATTGTTTGATTATTATAATATTCTCTTTCTTTTTCTAAATCGATCGTTTTTTTTTCATTCAAACGAAGCCTGAAATGGTTAACAATTAATGATTTTTATCAATTAAAATATACAAATTAAAGGAGTACTTTTTATTTGAGACTAAATTAGTAAAGATTAATTACTAATTGTCTTAATTAATTTTGAACATTTTGAATAATTTGAATACATTGCTTCAACTCGTTCCTTTTCCGCCAAAATGCAATTTGTTTTAGTTTCAATTTCCATTAAACGATTTTTCAACTGGCATGCAGTAGTTGAAAGATTTTGATTTTCAAGTAAGAATTTTTCACGTTCTTTAATAATTGATGAGACTTGCTCTTCGATTTTAGACTTCTCCAAATTCAATGACTGCAAATAGTAGGTGAACTCCGTGTTATTTTCACGTGGTTTAATGAACAAGCAGTAAAATTCAGCTTTAAATAAGAAAATATTGCTAAAATTTGTAAAGTGAATTTTATAAAGATTATTCTAAATTAATTTTTCTAATTGTTGTTCAATAAATGGATCAAAATGAAATCCTGAACTTAGTTTCATAATTTGAATCTCACTTATTTAATATCATTCAGTTTTCTAATTAAGATTTAATAAGTGATTGAGAAAATTTCCATTCTGAAATTTAAAAATTTAAGTTTCCATCGATTTTTACTTAATACTTAAATAGATATGCTATAATGAATAAGAGTTTCTTGTAGCAATCACTAATGCCAAAATTACCCTTAATAATTTTATGCAAGAAATCAGTATATTTGTAATTTTCGCTATTATTATTCATGCTTAAAAATGAGTAAGTAATTGTACTGTATTATGCATACAAAACCATATGTACAGTATTTTTGCACAGTAATTAATTTTTGTATTTCTACTCAAAAATATTTGTGCTAAAAACATCTAAATTAATTATTAACTCATTTGATTTTGTTCTATTTCTCAGTATTGTACTGAAAGTAATTTCGTACTGTAAATACCATACAGTTTTTGTGTCAAACTGCATTTTATACTCTGTGTAACTTTTTTTTAAAACTATAAATGAAATAATTTTTATACTATAAATTATTTGTTTGTAATTATTAATGTAACACTTTTTATATCATTCATATGATTTAAAACTTTGGTAATTTTTAATATTAAAGTTTATTACTTATTACTTACTTGCATATTGCTAACGAGATGCTCTGTTTTAGCATTCAATGAAATCTTTTCTTGTTCTAATGTTTTTTTTGTTTCGTTTGTTATTTTTAATTCACTGAAAAAAATATTCATTTAATTTTATATAAATTAATTAATATGACGTCATTTCATAAATATTTAATTTGAGGTCTAAATTAAATTTTGATGACAGAAGCTAAGTTTTAATAATTTAACTAGACAAAATGTATTAATATTCAGTGAGAATCAGACGATAGAAGTTTGACAAGTTAGACAAGAAATCAAGTATTCAAACTCAAATACCGTACTAAGTATATGAAAGGAAAGTGGCAAAATTACTTTTAGTAATAAACTACTTACTTTTTTACACTTTGTAGGTCATCTCTTAATTTTTTAGTCATTCGTATTAGTCTTTCTCGTTCTTTTTCAAGTTCATCTTTTGCTCGTTCTAAGCACTAAAATTAGATCAAATTATTTGATTCTTTCAAATAAACTTTATATTTCTTATTTAATTATTAATTATTTTATTTTAGTTATTATAAATGACTAGCTAGTTTATCTTGCAATTATTTAAAAGTTTAATTTTCTGTCAACGATTATTTAAATATATTAAAAATCAAAATTTAAGTATATAATTTCCTAATAAATTAATAACAGTTATATGACCGTACCAAATATCGACTATGTTCTTCTTGACGAGCTTTTGCTTCAGCTAATAATTTTTCTTCATACATTTTTTTTTCCTCACTCAAAAGAACACCATGGCTTTCTAAGTCTTCCACTAATTTTTCCCAAGAAATTGTATTCTTGTAAGAACTGAAACTAATCAATACTTACCTTAGTTGAACCATATTATTTTAACAAATATCCAATTATAAACTCAAACTTTAAGCTTAAAAGCAAGGTCAGTGATAAGCTGTAAGGTCAAAACTGAGTATTATTCAGCTAATAATTTCTGTCCACATATTTTTTGTAAAAAATGATCAAATTTTATCAGAAAAGAAGGATTTTTTGATAAAACTAATGAGCATTTCATCAAAAATAAATCAGAAAAGTTTATTTTTCATAAATTGCTTACTAATATAACGGAGTTTAAAGTGGACGGAATTTTGAGCAAATTTGAAGCTAAGGTCAATAACAGTATTAAGACAGAAGTTTGTTTCTAATAAAATTCTTACTAATATCAAGAACTTCAATAACACAAAAGAAATCTTACTTTAATATTTAGTATTAACAGTTACACTTTATTTATCCAGTCATTAACGATTGTTCTTTTTGATCAAGTTTGATCAATACAAATCCAAGTGAATCAAGTTTTTATATGAGTAAGTTATCATTTATCTTTTTCATAAAAATCCTGATCATTTTTTAATAGAATTAATGTGACTAATTTAAGTATAAATGGTAAATTATCAAACACTAATAATTATTTTTCCAATTAAATTTGCATCAAAAGAATTCGTTAACAAATTTTAATTGATTTTATTAAAATTATTAAAAATAAATTTTTTTAAACTTGCATTTTAGTAGCATCACGAAGAGCAGCTAGCCAACTTTCTTGCGTTTTTGAATCAGGTGCACACACTATAATAGCTGATTTAAATTGTGTGTGAGTGATAAGTAAGCAGTTTTTATGTCCATGATCTTGACCAGCTACTACAGAGCATCCTACTAGAGGCACCACACCCTAAACTTAATAGATATCATTTAAAATTTGATCAGTCTGGCTTAAATGGAAAAATACTGATTTATAAAACAATATCAAAAGTTAATTGTGATTAAATTTTATTACTAAGAAGATCATTCACATCAATTATTAATAATAGTAACAATAATGATAAAATTAGTTATTATCAGCTTTATAATTTTTATTAATATTTCTTATAATATATAACCACTATTATTAGTTGTCTGTTATTTCGGTCTGACCGAAAATATTTTAAATTTTATTTCAGGTTTATTTTAGGTTTTATTTCAGGTTTATCTTAGGTTTTAATTGTAGGTTTATTTCACATCAGCTGATTTTAAACGTGACAATTATCGCTGATCCAATTATAATAATTAGTTGAGAGAAAAACGGATGTGTTATCAATTAAATGCGTTTTTTAAATGCGCATTTAATATCAATTAAATACAACTAATAACAATGTTTACATCTTACATATTAATGGAACTTATAAACTAATCATTAATGAATTCAAGAATGATACGGAAATCAAAATAAATTAGGATAATACTTTGAATGTAAGAATGAGAATAGACAGTAAAGATAGAAATTGTCGAATATTCAAGAGTTATAATTGATAACAATATTTTAAAAATAATAAATTCAAAAAAATTAGGACTAATATTAAGTTTAGAATTACACGAAAAATATTAGCAAGCTTAAGAACAATATTTGAAAATAAAAATAACTGATATGCAATAAAGATCAGATCAATAATGCAGTTCTTGGAATTCAAATAATGTGATAAATAACGTTGAACGAAGAAAAGTCACGCACGTCATGTCAACTAAAAAGTAAGAAACGTGACTAGATTTTTAGTCTTTTTAAAATACTTTTCGATAAAATGAATAATTAATTAAGACATTTACCTTTGGGTGTAGATTCATTCGCTTTCTCTTTTGGAATGTTTTTTTTTCAGAAACTTTGTAGTAAACCAAAAAGCATTCTTTAAGTATAAAAAACCTAAAAATTGATAAATTTGGTAGAAAGAATTATTTTGTGCATTTTATATTATAAAAGTTATTCAATCAATTATGAAAGTAAGCAAAATGTTTAATAAGTTTATTATCACTTTTCTAAGTAAAGCTTATCACAGTGATTTAACCAATTCAAAAATAGTGATGTGAAATAGTTGAATGATTATTTTTTTGAAGTGAAAAAGAAATTGATATTTAAAATCTCAAAACAATAATAATACTAACAGTTGTAGCAGTAATCATTATTATTATTATTACTGTTATCATTATTATTATTGTTATTATTAATTATTGTTATTAATAAGCACGAATTTATTTCAAAACTTTAGATCAAAAAATACAATTAAGTAGAAATTAAAAAAGATTGAAACTTAATAATAGTATAGGTTAAATTTTAAGAAAGGTTAAAGGTTGAATACCGTTTATTCCATTTTGCTGTTCGATTTTTTCGTTTGCTTTGTTTTAACATAATACCATAATGTTGAACGCCGAGTGTTGATGAATACATTGCCAATTCTAAACGATTTGGCTTACTTTCAGATGCTTCAACTTCATGTGAATTACCAAAGACATGTTTCATACGACGTTTGCCACGATTTAATGAAGTACTGAACTAAAATTAGCATAAAAATCTCTATAAGATTTACTAAGTTATCAGCAATATGAAAGTCAACAATCAAATAAAGTAATAAGTAAAAATTAGCAAAACAGTTTTTACAAAAGTTGCAGTTTATTGCAAAGACTGAAATAAACTTTTTCAACTATTTTAAAATAACACATCTAATGAGATCATTTTTCTATCTTTAGTTTGTAATAAATTCTTACAGAAAATCATCAGTGTTAAACATTAAATCATACAAAATTAGATTTAAGTAATGATTTGATTAATTTGAATCAATAATGATTGCAAAAACATATTTTGATCAATTTAGCAAAGATAAAAATTATCAGTTATAATCTGTGATAAGATCTGAATTATAAACAAAAATGATCTAAGAATGAGAAAACACATATCCGAAATATTTGCTACATAAAATTGTAGAAAGTTTTTGTAATGATAATCTATTTGTACGCATTAATGATAACTTGATAAGTAGTTGATAATTATTACCTTTTTTTTTAACTAATTATTAAATAAATTACCAGTAAATGCATAAGCAACAAACGAATAGGAATTAATTGAAGAACAAAGTTTCTTAAAACATTTAATTCTGATTTTATAATAAAAATATATTTTCTTATTTTAATCGACTAAAAAAAATTTGTCGAATATTTATTCAATTATTTAAGACTACTATAAAATTATTATCAAATTAAAATAATTAATTACAAAATGGCTTCAAGAAGTATCATATTGTAATCAACTTTATTTATACTTTATTTTGGAATAAAGTGAGAAATTTTATGAAGTAAAAACAAAATTTGTAGTATTTTATGATATTTTAAAAATTTTACTTGAAACGAAAGACTTCTAAGAATGCCTCGTTTTTCCTCATTTTTCCCACTTCTCGGTAATTCAGTTTGCGGTGTTGAAACTGACGTAGAATTTCTTACTGTTGTGTTAATTACTGTTGCTGGTGCTATTGTACTATCATTTGTTGTAGTTGTAACTATCGGTCGCGCAGTATTAATTGATGGATATCCTCGCTGTCTTTGTCTTGAGCAAATATCATCATCGACCTCATTCATTTAACTGATTTTATTTTATTCAATTATTTAAGTACCAATTTTTCTAATCTCAAAGTAAGCAAAGTTTTATCCACCAAAAACTCAAAAAATTAATTGACCATTTGGTAATAAAGCTTTTTTTTTTAATTTTTGAGTTTTTATTAATTTCTTAACTTTAATTAAAATGCAAACTATTTTATAATGCATTTGAATTAATTGCATGAAATTGTTGCGTGTATTTGTGAATATAATATGAATAATTCATTGTGAAGAATTATGTTCAAGTAAAAATTTGCATAAATTCATTCATTTAATTTTCTGAACAGATGGAAAAAATAAAATTTAATTGTAGATTTTCAATATATTTGGCACAATATACGAATAATATCCCGAATTAGCCATTTTAGACTAATTTGTGTTTAAAAAACAGTAATTTGATTGAAAATACAGTTTAGTATTGAAAAATCAAATAACTTATGCATAAATAGTTCTGATCATCAACTTAAAATAAGACCATAATAGCAAAACACCAAAAATGAAATAATTTTTGAAAACAAAATAGTACACCAAATT